ATGTTTTTGTGGGCTGCATATTAATTACTTAGACTACTTTCTTCCTTTGTTTGCCTTTAACAAAGAAAATTACAATGTATATGACTTAGAATGATGTTTATTATATTATCAGAGTGATATAATACCTATTTCTGACCTTTGCCTTTGAGTGCTTGGTCAAAGTTTGACTCATCTGACTGAGGTCTGCTCAGTAATGTTTATCGAGGAAATAAAGCTGGAAATATGGGTTCATTTTATCTGACATGAAATTGATGAAGTGTTATCATTGTTTTTCCATTCTGCAAACACACAGCAAATTGAAGTCTGCTTATGAGCTTACAAGTTAGTAACCTCTCTTTCTTGCCTCCAGCTGAAGGACGCAGGCAGCGTGTGCAGACGCAGTGCTCATGATTGTGATCTGGAGGAGTATTGCACTGGAAAATCAGCCCAATGTCCTAAAGATGACTACAAGATGAATGGGCTTCCGTGCAACTACGGCCAGGGTTACTGCTATAATGGCGAGTGTCCGACACTTAAGGAGCACTGCAAGACGTTGTGGGGCCCAGGTACCATTGCAAAGCCAATCGAAGAACCCTTTCATTCTTTCTCATGATGATTCCTAGTTGTAATGGCTAGGTCTCTTAAAATATGGATCATTATTTGTTGTTGTTGTTGTAAATTTAACCATATCAGTAAATTGCTCATTTATTACAATTTTAATATCTCTTCACTTTCCAGGTGCTGATGTAGATTTAGATTGCTTTAATCACAATACCTTTGATAAAAGTTGTGCAAGGCCCAGATTTGGCAACTGTGACCAACAGTAAGTTCAGCTTTTGATGTTAATATTTAGTCTTTGTTGAAACTGTTTAAAAGCCTTGTCTGTAAATGGAAAATATTTTTTGCTTTACAGTAACAAATGTTTCATTTCTTTTAGGCACATCAAATGTGGAAAAATTTACTGCTCAGGTGGAAATGATTTTCCAATAACCAGGGAAAAATATCTCTCTACCTTCGGTGCGAAAACGTGTTATACAGCTCTGGAAACCTTTGACAAAGACAGTGTAGGGATGGTGCCAACAGGTACCAAATGTGGGACAAATAAGGTTAGTGAATGAACTCAGCATAGTATGCAGTGCTTTTAGAGTGATGGAGACACTTCATTTATATCTGCTACACTGATGTCTCCTTGACATTTTGGAGGAATGACATCTGTTCATCTGTTTGTTTACAGGTGTGCTACAACAACCTTTGCCAAGACCTGAGCGTCTACAAAAACAAGAACTGTTCTGCAAAATGCAATAATCGTGGGGTACGGGACACGGCTGGTTTCTAATATCTGTGTCAGATGAAAAGATTAGAAGATAAATTATGAAGAGCTGATTTACGTAACACTTTGTTTGAGGTTTCCGTAATAGTTATTTAAAATGGAATTTGCAAAAGGTCTTTTAGAGAATAGGAGTGCATGCCCTTTTGAGCTGACCTTTTGTCCATTGTTTGAAGTATTCAGCAGGCGTTAACCGATGGCCATGGAGATTTCCACTGCTTAACTGTACTATTTTAATGTATCATAGGTGTGTAACCATGAGAAATCAGTGCCACTGTGATGCAGGCTGGGCTCCCCCCTACTGTGATGTGAAACTGTCCGACAGTAGGTCACTTGCAACCAAAATATCACATTTTCACATGTAAAATTTATGTTACACAATCTAATCAAACTAGAGACCTACTCTCATATTAATATGCATGTTTGTGTTATGGGTTCTTGCTAACGTCTTGTTAGTATTGACAGGAAAAGAGGCTGTGATCATTGGTGTGACCACATCTATAGTCATCCTGCTACTGATTACTTTAGTTATTGGAGCCTCAGTGTGTTGCAAGAAACCAAAGACACTGTTCAACAAGCAAAGGTCAGAATTTGTGTTCCTCACTTTTTTGAAACAAAGGAGTTTGAATGAAATGTAAACACTGTTACAATTTAAAAAAAAAACATTTATTACCCAGTTTAAAGTCTTTTCATTGAAACTATGCTTCAAACATGACCAATTTTGAATTAGTTGTTTATGTGATGTCATGAGAACTCATTTACATATATCCACCTATTCAGCCTACAGCAATTTAGCCCTGTCCATTCATATTGAAGTTCAAAGTAGTGCTTCAGCACTGAGTGCTTTCTAAATGAGGCACAATACAGAGTAACCAATCAGAACAGAGCTCATTCAGGTTATATTAATCTTAAAGACACAGTAACAAAAACAGCCTGTTTAATCCTAAAAGACAAAGAGAGGTCATGTAAAAGTAAATTATGACATTTTTGGTTTGTAAAACCACAGATTTTATAAGTTGACCACAAAGAAAACAATAAAATACAAGAAAAATGTAGGATATGGGTCTTTTAAATATCAATTTCTGCATAGCCAGCTGTTATCTATCCTGTCATGTACATGTAGTACACCTTCTTAAAAGAGTGCTTTTTCTTCCAAAAGGTCCTTTAAGGACACACACACCTACTCAGGTCAGTCCAACCCAGTGTTCCAGCCAAGCAGTGCAAAGAACAGCCCCAGATGTGGGCCCCCGCGTATCAGTCAGCCCACTTTTGTGGAGTCATCTGCAACCCAAGCCTGCAAGCCTCTGTTTTCCCCAACTACACCTAGCAGACCACCACCACAGGTTGGATCATTGATCAGCCACTGAACTAGACACTCATAGGGAAACACAATATATTGCAATATATTGCTGATATATTCTAAACTCTGCACTGAATATGTTGTAATATAATATACTAATTACTGCTCACCTCTGGCCCACAGCCTCCAAAGTTAGCAGAACCAAGAATGGAACAGGTAATTCAGTGTAGTTATTTTTGAAAGTCTTACGTTGTGAACAGTTGTGTGCATTATTTATCTATGTTCACAATTATTTTATGCTTTATTTTTTAGACTGTAAAACTTTCAATTCCACCTTCTGTTGTTCCAAGTAACACTTTTGTTACTCAGGTAAGGATGAAAATAGTCCGCTACTCATATGGCACTAGATGCTAAGTATATTTTATTGTTTAATTTGTTGTGGATTTTGTTTTTGTTGTTCTTGTGTTTACATCAGACAAAGGCTTTGCTTCCACCATCCAAACCTCTACCTCCTTCAAGACCTCTACCTCCTCTGATGTCCAAACCAGTAAGTCTTTATGATCACAATACATATCACCCAAAGTTGGAAAATGCTTAAGTGATAGAATCCTGTTAGTATACTTAAACGGGAATTCCACCATTTTTTCAAAATTTCTGCATAATTTAACTGTTGAAAGATAATCTAAAAAATGGCATTGTTTGTATCTTAATGGTTTAATTATTTTTTTTCCACTTAAAATATTATTTTGGAAGATTAGTATTTATATTGAAAGTACTATTTTAATTGAATACTTGCACTCTCACTCCATTACATTTCCAAGAGAAAAACTACTACTTGCATTTCAAATGTCTTAGTACTTCACTTTTTTCTTTTGCCAGTTTTTTTTTTTATTTTTAGTGCTTTTTTATTGTTATTTATTTTATTTGAATGTGAAATGAAATTGTCCATAACTATGCCAATATGACTGAATATTTTATCAGTTAAACATTTATTTTTTTACTTGCATATGCTTGAGTATGTTCAAATCAAGACTTTTTGACTTTCATTGTAGTATATTTTTGCTTCTATACTTCCACTTTTAACAGACTAAGATTTTGATACTTTTGATATTTTGATAACCTAATATAGTTTCTCTGTACATTTTCAGTCACTGGCATCACCTCTATTTTAGTAACCAAACCAGTTAACATTGCCACCTCCCACTCCTAAATAGTAGCATCAGTCCAGCTGTGGAGCTCTATTACATTTGTGTCTTTCTCACATGCTGCTGTCACAGCTTCAGAGACAATGATTTCCTGAAGAGGAGCAGACAGTACATAATTATACCTGCTTTGCTCACTTTTGTAGGTGTATAAACCAATATCACCTCCAATGCCTCCTGTAAAACCATCAGGGCACACAACTAGCATCTAATGCACCTCAAGTAGGTTTCCTTGAGCACCACAGATTACATGGCTTGTTCATTGTCTGTATATTTCACTTAGTTTTTAATGGTTTAATGCCCTTTTTCTGTGCAATAGGTAATAGCTCCCCCAAAGGTTCCTCTGAAACCCCCTACGAAGTTCAGATGATCTGATGCAGAGTGAATCACTGAGAGCACCAGGAAACGCTTCATGAGCAATCTTAATGCCTCTGCAGGGGCTGCCTTTTTGAGGATGAGTCAACTGAAACTTTGTTTCCACCTTGGCACCTGAGTAATAAGATTCAGTTGAAGAAGATGGGGAATGTATCCTCGACAGAATTAAATATCTGTATGCACTCAGGGACTTGCTCCTATTTTGCTATAGCTGAACTGTTTTGGTACGTCTCGATTATTTCAGTTATTTTCTAATGAATGTATTTGTAGCATCTTCCTGTTCTGCCAAGCAGGACAAAATGTAATACAAGAATATCATTCAGAGGTTTCTCTGAAAGTCAGGTGGCTGTTATTAAATGCATTTATTTTGTAAGTTTGCTTTGCTGAAGTCTTTTAAGATGGATGCCCTTTTGTCCTGGTTTAGTTTTCCTCTTTCTTCTTGCACTCAGACAAAAGCAATCAAATGTTGGCTAATTCACCCATTGAATGTTTTCTCATGTTGCCTAATTGTCCTCAGCTGGTCTGATTGTTTTTAACTGTAAGAATTTAAACAGTTTTTTCTAATACATATTTTAATTAATTGTTATTTATGTTTTAAATATAAATAAAATATCTTTTTTCACAGTATTGTTCTCCAGTGCTTCAGAAGTCTACATTTCAGTTGCCTGTTGGCTGAAAAACTCAGAGATTTCTTAGGATGCGTCCAAAACCGCATTCTACCACACTAAATAGTATGTCGAAAATAGTCCACCAACAATAGAAGTCCATTCATTAGTGTAGTGTATGTAGTACAGTAGTGTGTGGTTTTGAACGCAGCTCTAGTTGACAGGGCAGGGATATTTTGAATCGCCTTTTCAGGATAAAAGGATTGGCCCTTTTCACGTGCCGTAGTTCGGTTGCTTAGAAACAGCTCAAACAACCTGATGCGTGTGAAACTGAGGCGCTGGTCGTCAGATAACGCTAACTTTGTTTCACCTCTTAATACTAAACAGCCGCTCTCATTATGAATAAAGACTTAAGCGAAGGAGCGCTGCAAGACCTTTACGCTTGGATAGATAAAATAAAACTCTCCAGACCTAAAAGAAACATAGCCCGCGACTTCAGTGATGGAGGTAACGGTTAACCTGCTGCAGTGTTTTATTTTATGACTTTAGACTTCATTAACTGGCCCTAAATGTATGCAGGGTAAGTGTTAAAACTGCCACTAAATTACTGAATAATTTTATGTAGCTAATAAATACGTTTTTAGGGCTCTGAGCTGACCTCTAACATGGTGTCTGTAGCCATGATCTCGTCACAGACAAAATAGACTGGTTTCTTTTTACTGGAGGACCTGGGTTTGGTTCATTAAGACAGAGAGAGAGAAACGATTACCTGCATTAGCTAGCCTGGCTAACGGGAGGGAACCAGGCCAACTGAACTGTTTAGCAACACGGCTGAGCTTGTTGCAAATAGTACAGTTACAATAATGTCAACATAATATACAAAATACATGAACATAAAACATTCTATCAGTTTAAGCAGAGAAGGAGCAATGAAGGGGCCGGGGATAGGACCCATGCTTTTGCAAAGGTGCATATACTAATTTTTTTTGTTTTTGGAGAGGGTAACAGAACTTCCCAGATAGCAAGCATATATATATATATATATATATATATATATATGGCTTGAGAAGGTCGGCATTCCGCTATATGCCGTTGCTGGTCCACCCTCAGACCACCCACAATACTGTCCTGCAAACAAGGTCTACTGGTTTTTTATCTCCTCAAAAATAATTTAAATGCATATTGACTTTTATTTTACAAAATAAACAAGACAAATATTACAACTACTGAGAGAAAAAAATAATGACTAGGCCCAGTATAAAATGATTTTGTTGAAAATGTTGCTAACACTGTGCTAAATTGATTACAGCTGTATAACCCACTATATTCATGATATATCTAGCTCAATTTAAAGCTCAGTCAGATCTGTATCGTCCAGTACTCAAGGTTTTAATATCGGTTTTGGAAAATAAAAAGCTGTATCGTCTATCTTTTTTTCATTTTCATCTTAAAAATCTTTTTAATCTTAAATAAAATGTTAAAGCTCTGAAGCAAGAGTTGTGAGTAACAGTAAAGCACTACAGATACTGTCAAAATCACAATGGAACTGAATATAATAAAAAGACTTGAGGAAAGTAACTAACTTGACTGAGGAAAGTAACTAGACATGAAGGGCAACGATGTAACTGAGAAAAGAGTCGATTACTTTCCTCGTTAATATACTTTAATAGAAGTAAAATTATTGTCCTTTGGAAATGCATAGGATTTTCCATCAAAATTTCCTTTAACTGACTAATGTAATTGCTTGAGTAACAGTAAGAAAAGAGGAACCATTGCGGAAATCACTGAAAGGAATAAGTAGACACTTAGTTCATGATATTACTTCTTTTTGGAAATCCCTGGTAACTATAGTCAGTTTTAAATTACACACAATCTTTTTTTTTTTCAAGCTTAAACATGAAGCTTCAGAGCCTTGAAATAAAGTAACATGGCCTGATAAGAATGTCTTTAAACATCTGGATGGGATTTTCCTCTGAAAAAGCCAAAAGAAGTCTCCAGCCCACATTGCCTGCTCCCAGTGGCCACTATGGTTGAAAGCCTGTTGTTCTTGAGAAAGGGTCCAGTTTTTAATTTCCAATCCAAGTGGATTAAAAGCTGCTCTGAAGACAAAAGACAACTGTGTAACTAACGTCTATCCATATTTTCACTCCCTGTAAGCAGCAGATGGTTTAAACATTGTTAGAAAGCCCGAATGGCTGAAGGTGACTGAAAAAGCAGCTCTCTGATGAGGAAAGTGCACTGCATCATTATGCTTTTCTTGTCTGTAGTTATGGCTGCTGAAGTTGTGAAGCACTTCTACCCCAAGCTAGTGGAGCTGCACAACTACACTCCCGCACACTCTACTCAACAAAAGCTGAGTAACTGGAACACTCTGAACAGGCAAGCAAATTTATTTATGTTTCATGCAGACAGTAAGAAAAACAAAGGTTCTGCTTATATGACCCTGGTGCCGCTTGACACATTCTCAAGGGAATGATTCAGAATGTGATGCTGGCTATTTCTCTGCTTTCAGCTGTCATAATCCGACTCGGCTGACTGTTTGGGTTTGACTTAGTGCCGACATTAAAGTCAGTATGTTTCACTTAGAAATATGGGATGTCGTTTATTAAACAAACCTAAATTGACTTCTAGATGTGTTCTTCAGATAAGTTCTCAGCATTGGCCTATGCATAATAATTTATTCAAACAGATCTCACATTCTAACGCCTATAGCACACTGGCACTGCCAGTATGAAAAGTTTGTAGGTTAGGTTGGAAAGTTGCATTGTTCTACACACATTTTCATTTCAAAATCATGTTTTGTAAATTCATCAAACATGAATTTTCATATACAATCATTTTTAAGATCAAATTCATGCCGATGAGTCTCCATGGTTCCCACAGAATAGTCACTTTCCACATGTTCAGTCAGCTTTTTTTCTCATTACAAACCAGGGGCTGGTTTCACAGAAGTGTTGTAAGACAGAAAATCTTTTTAAATGCACTATTTGCACAGTACATAAAATAAGAAATAAGTTGAGATAGATAATTATACTTTTAAAAAACTTATTAAGATTTTTTTTCATTTCTTTTTTAACCTTTTTCTCAAGAACAATTGAAAAAAGAGTTTTAAATATTTTCTTCACGCTTGCCTTAGACTGTAAGAATTGAGGAGGCAAACCTCTTATACTGTAATTTCTAATGATCTCCACAACACATAAGTGTTAAATAAACCAAGGAGGATTTTTCCCGCTCCTGTTGTTTGGTTTGATTTTCTTTTACCTCCATTTTGCTGTCCTCATGCACTAATGTGATTAAACTGAATAACAGTTTGAAGGAAATATGGTATAATTTAGGTAGTGTTGAAAATGTCACATTATATTGATAGTCTACATGACAAATAACCTATTGCCTTCATATGAAAACAATTGATATTTTTTTAAGAAAAGATCTAAGACTTTCTTGTGTACTTCTTTGTGCTGTCGTAGGTTTCTCTTAGGAAAGCCCTTAATATTTTCTTCAGTGTTCCAAGGACGCAATAAAATTCCATTTTTGGCAGTAAAATGTGTTTCTCTTTGTTTCTCCAATTGTTGTTACCAACAACATGATTGCATGAAATGAGTAGCCAGCATTTTGGTTTAATTTCAGGAAAGTCTTCTCCAAGCTGAATTTCCACATACCAGAGGACACAGTGAAGAAGATAGCACTGAGCACTCCAGGCAGCATTGAGTCAGTGTTGTGTGCACTCAGAGAGAGACTAGAGGACAGGCAAGCGGGAAGAGTTCCAGACGGCACACAAGTTAGTTACTGCAACCCCCTGACTGTGTGCATTTATGTCTTTTCTGTCATTAATACGTGCATAAATAATACACTTTCCTGTTTCAATTTATTGTAGGATTTGGAGTACTACAGCACTGTGAATGAAAAAACACACACAGGTAGGCATGTTTCAAAGCATGTGATCCAGCCTGAACTTTACTGATGTTTGCAAAGCCACAGTTCTTTCAGACATCATCAGCACAGTTTGCTTGTTATGTGGTCACTTCATGACAGTCATCCCACTTCACCATAGTGCAAATCTAAAATCCTAACCTTGCACTTCCTCTGCTTGCTCATTGCATCTGTTCCACTGAACGACAGCAGATTGTATCACCTGGGAACAGATCAGCATTAGCTTTTAGGGAAGCTAAACACTCATGTTTTGTGTGGTCATAATGATCTCTGTGTCACATTAATTTTCTGCTTAAGCTTTGACTCATATAGTAGCAAACACTGTGGTGAGTGGCATTTACCCTTAAATGCACTGACCTCAGTTTCACCCCACCCAGTCCTTTTTCAGGTAAGCAGCAGAAAAGCTATAAAAATAGGGGCACTTCCCCCAACCTCCTCTTATTTCCTAACCTGCTCAAATGACAGGTCCAAATCTAATCAGGTTACATTTACTGAAAGCCTATAGTCTGATTAATTCTGAAATTTCAACTGGATCACAGCATTCCTAGAATGTATTGTTCTGTAAACTTTTTAGGGTTAGTTGGTCTATTTTTTGTCATTGGATGAAAGTGATCTATGCATTTATATTAAGTTGTACAAGAAAGGTTGTTAAAATATGTAATTATGGTTGTGCAACACATTCGGTTTGAGAGGAAAAAGGTTTTGGTTTTGAAAGGAAGGTTTTTTTCTGTTGAGGTGAAAATGTGCTCACTGTGGTCTGTGGTCTGTGTGCTGGGTATCTAACATATCTTGCTGGTTGCTTTGAATGCTATTGATTTGTTTGTTTTTTTATTGCTATTACTGATGCCATACTAAAACTCCTATTCCTAATAATAATAATAATAATAATAATAGCAATAATCATATTAATAATAATAATAATAGCATTAAATGAATATACAGCACTGTACAAAATGTCTAGTCAAAACAGACATTAAGTACAAGTTATTATTTTTCTACATCAGGGTAAAAAAAGCAGAAAACATATATTTACCATAAAGTCACACAGAAGCCTCAACAACTAAAATAATATTTAATCTTTCAGCATTTAATATGTCCACTCTTTGCCTTTTTACAGCTTCCATTATTTGGAAGAGACTCATTTTCTACTTTTCATGTCTCATCCCAAACACATCCATAGATAGTGAGGTTTAGACTCAGTCCATTGTTCTCAGAACACCAACAGCTTCTTGGTCTCCAATTTTTTTTCATTTCTGTCTGTTTCCTTTTCTCAGGTATGGCTTCTTGACGGTTACATATCCTTTCAGACCCATAGCGTTGAGTTGTCTTTTCACAGTGGAAGGACGAAAATTGCCTGTTTTTCAGATCTGAATCAAGAGTGGAACTTGATTTTCTCAAGGACAAAAGCTTTAAATACTGTTTATCTGATGGTAACAGTTTTGATGGTCTGCCAGGACTTTCACTGATCCAGTTTTCTCTGTATTGTTTAATAATTTTTTTAATTCCAGTTTTGGAAACTCCTGTTGTCTTACTTCCTTGTCTTTCCCCTTTTTTATGCAAGTAGATTATCTTATATATATATTCTCCTCAGAAATATGCTGGTTTTCTCCAAATAGTGGACTGGCCATCTCAGAGTCCAGACCTCAACATCATTTGAATGTGTTTGGGATTATTTGGATTGTGAGAAACAGAGAATGCAACCAACTTCTAAGACTTTGGAGGTGTGGAAAACTTAAAGCAAGTCTCTTTAAAATAATGGAAGTTATGATAAATTAATAACATGTACTTAATAGAGCCAAAGTTTATTTTTTACATTATTAATCTACATATTTCAAACATAGGCCCATTCATCATAGGTGGTCCTGTGTGACACTAATATGAGCATTACAAAATTTTATCTTCACAGATATATCAGACTCATCACAGTCAAATACAAACAAACTCTAGGGGATAGTGGAAATGAGCCAGCATCATCATAGCCTTAGTCCATGCTTTCCTCATGTCTTGGAATTGAGCCAACCATGTCGGCCTTCAGTTTCCCACACCTCATCATCTGGTCTTAATTGTGGCCTCTTTCCTCAGTGAGGTCAACCCAGGCCAACTCCCTCTTTTCTTGTAAGAGAAAGCTCTTCATATCAGCTCTTTTCACCAGATGGCCCTTATCACTGTCCACAGACTCCACACATGGCTTAATGCTTTTGCTGGCACAAAGAAAAAAAATCTCCTTAGAATTCTTAGAATTAAGTTTATATTAATGCTAATGCAAGAACAATACATTTGTGTTAAATTTAAAAAAGGCAACTTTTTTCCTCACCATCTATTACTATTATTATCTATTATTCAGTCTCAGTGTGTCATTTCCCTCCCGCATGGGACCCTGTAAGGGCCAAACACAGCCGGTGCTGATGACTCTCTTAAGTGCCAAATAAAAGTCTCCAGGTCTGTGTAGTAGACTGCAGTCTGGGTTTCCGTTGCCTTCCCCTTGTCCTTTTGACCTCATTGTGTTTAATGGGTTCACATAGAGTCTAATTAGATTAGCTTTGCCTGCTAAGTGATTCCCAGGAGCTATTAAAACCCCACACGTGGGTGTACCACTCAATTGGAGGGAGAGAGGAAGTTGATGGGGTTGATTGTGAGGGTATTTTTCTGGAGTCTGGAGGGGGAACTCTTTGTTGAGCAGTGACATCATTTTTGTTCAAATTAAAAAATATAAACTCTTAGAAATGTCTACAAATACGAATCTGCCAGTAATTTTTTTACTTTATATTTCCTCATGTTGTATTTTTATTTTATTTTATTTTCAGATGTGAAGCAAGAGTGTGGCTTGATATTCTCCAATATCTCAAAGATGAAAGCTTTAAGTACTGTTTATCTGATGGTGACAGTTTTGGTGGTCTACCAGTAGTTACACTGTTGTCAGGATTCCTATTTTTTAATATCCTTTAATGTTTTTTTGTGATTTCCAGTTTTGGAAACTCTTGTTATTTCACTTATTTTCCTTTGACTTTCCCCTTCCTGATGCAAGTGGACCATCTTATCTTATTTTGTCTTGTCTTATCTCATATATTTTTATATAATCTTATCCAAAATCTCTCTTAAAAATTTAATAACTTCTGCCTAAAGGCTGTTTCTGGAAATTCTCTGAATTTGGCAAAGTATTGTATGTTTACCAAAAATAAAGACATTATTTTATTGCACTGGCTTGGTAATGTGCCCAAATATTCTTTGTGAATTTGCAGAAAATCGCCAGGTTACTCTTGAGACCTCTAACAAGACAGCAGCCCATGTAAAAAAGGCACATAAATCCAGGTATTACCCTGAAAATTGTATGTACTATTTAAATAAAGTACTATGTAAAGTATATTGTATACTATATCAAAGGATTACTTTATTTAAAAAATTAAGGAGTTGTAGTCTTATCTGTTATCTAGGCACACAGTGTATTAACAACATTTTCCTTAAAATTTTTTCACAGTCCTCTTATAGTACCAGGCCAAAATGTGGACCCAGCCTTCCGCTTGCTTTTGGAGGAGAAGGAGCAAGCTCTGTTAGCTTTGCAGGAGACTGTAGAGGTGAGGTGCTAAAAAACGCTGCACATTGTTGCAGTTGATCTGTGTACTCATGCTTTTCACAACCAGCTTGTTTGCTTGTGTGCGATTTCAAATGTTCTTGAAAAATAGTGAAGTTAGTGTTGATGTGCCGCTGATAGAACTGGATGTTGTAAAGTTCTGGGTAATGGCTAAATGTTCTCATATCCAACCTTAAGCAAACTTAGTTCAAGAACACAGTGACATGGTAAGTGACGTAGAGCCACTGTGGTGCAAGAGGAAATTTGTCTTTCCTGCACTGTCCTTACAAGTCACTTTTCCTTTGAGAAACTACTTCCTCTTGCTGTTGCAATTGTAATGGTGTAAGCGGAATTAGGGTGAAAATCTAATCTGGACAGGGTGTCACTGCATTTTCTGCTAATATGCAATCATTTATCATTTTGGAATACATTCACAGCCATCACTTACAGTCGTATGCAAACGTTTAAACACACCCAGTGAAGTTTTGCTGATTTTCTAAGTGAAAAAACATTAACACATCCTCTACAGGGAAGAAACTTAAATATGGCTTTTCTCTGCGAACGCAGTGCACAATTTCTATTAATTTGCTGAGTTAAACATATTGGGGGAAAAAATTGTGCCACAGCTTCTGCAGAGGCCATATTTTATATATTTTTTCTCTCCAGTATGTTAAATTCAGCAAATAAACAGCAAATATGCATTACATTGTGCATAAGCGGGTTCTATGTAGAGGATGTGTACTTAGTTTCACTGTATGTTTGTGGTCATATAAACACATACGTCCTATGCCTGTGTGCTGTGAAGTAGAATGTAAATAGCACCATGTTGGTGCACTTTGTAGGTATACACTTACTAAGTGTAGCCAATATGTTGCTGCACAATTTGTTGTCACCTTCCAACACATTGATCAATGAAAAGGGACCACCATAGGACCACTGTTGACCAGATTTGGGTGACCATTCTCAGCACAACAGTGACACCAACATATTAGTAGCATGTTAGTGTGTGTGGCATAAAAGTATGAGTGTGTCAGACACAGCAGTGTTGCTGAAGTTTTTGAACTCTTTGTACACTTACTGGGCACTTTATTAGACACACCTACATTGTAGGTGTACAGTTAGACACTATAGTTCATCTTTTTTTTTTTGCAAAAGTTTAGCCATCTTTTTTGGCCATTCATTAATGGTCAGCTTCTGACTACAGCAACACTATTGGCTGAATATTTTGAGTTGGTGTACTGTTCTCAACCCAGCAGTGATACTGATGCACATAAAAGCCCACAAACCCTGCTGTGCCTGATACACTCATACCAACAGCACACATACTACCCTGCTACAGTTGGTGTCACAGCAGTACTGAGAATGGCCTGACGTCCAAGTAATATGTAGTCAGTGGTTGTCATACATACAAAGGTGCACATATATGGTCGTGTGAATGACAAAATTACTAATGGAAACTCAGGCTAGGTGTTGATTTAATGCTGGCAGTTTTTTGTGAACCTTAGGTGGCTTAAAACATTTTTATTTAGAAAGGCCTTAAATGTTTAAAATAAATAAATGTTTTAAAAATAAATTAAATGTTATTGCAGTTCTTTGCTTTTATTATTTTATATAGGCTATATGTTGTCTTTTGCTAAAATGCTAGGTTATGGTTTTATTATTGTATTGAGTTTACTTTGTTATTATTATTATTAGTAGTAGTAGTAGTAGTTGTAGTAGTAGCAGTAGTAGTAGTAGTAATATTATTATCATCATTATATCAACCCTGTCTGACCATGATCGTTATGCCCAAAATAATTTTGTAGCAGCCGGACATTGGCCACTGAGTTTTATTAAATGAAGCATGTTTTAATTTTCTTTTTTTTAATTATAACTAAGTGAACTGTCTTATTAAAGTGTTTTTTTAGAATTTGCAAGCCTTGACCATCCGAGTTTTCCTTTTGAGAGGATTTTCAGCATGTGACCAATCAGTGTAAGATGGGTGTAGATCTCTGTAATGTAAGCATGCCACACATATCTCTCCTGATCTTGACTTGCCGTAGAGCTGGATCATCAAATAGATTCGATGTCATTTTTTATCAAAATGTCTTAAGAGGAGAACTGTTGCAGATGATCAACATTTCAATGAAGAGTGTACAGAAAAATCTATCTTGATAATGTCTTTGTGTCAAATTGCTCAGCCTGCCTTGTTTGATCTGCAGTGGAATTCACTAAAGAACATGTTATCGCTAACACAGCTCACACGGCTTCTTTAACGCACTATGCACCACAATTCCTCTCTTTGGGAAAAAAAAAACTCTTTTCGTTATTACATATTTAAGGTGGCATAAAATTACTTTTTTTTTATATTAGTATCGATATTGAAAGCTCGGGTTTTGGCCAATACCGATCCAATATTTTATGCTTAAAAACTCTTTAAAATTATCTCATTTTAATTGACGGATTTCTCTTCCGATGAGTGATCTTAAATTATCATGATTTGGGTCAGATCATGGCCCAGATAGGGTCAGTGGGCCACTAAGTGATAATTCTAGCAGTAGACTGAACAATACAGTGAAGTGAGTGTCCTATTATTCTGCCTGCAGATATTACAGATAAAGGTGAACAGGCTGGAGCATCTGGTCCATCTGAAGGATCTGCGTATCGAGGACCTGACAAAACACCTGGAGCGATACAAAACACGCAACAACATCCCGTGATGAATATTCAGGGACACAGCACTATAGCTCAGTATAAAGGTGTACAAAGACTGGATGATAAAAATTCATAACGTTAACAATACATTATCTGATTTTCCAGACTTGCAATTTTTAAGGCTACACTGTGTAAGATTTGAGGGTCTGGAGACCTCTCTGGTGGAAATGTGTAATAGCACACAACGTACGGAAGAACATTTTGTAACATTGGTTGTGCTTCGGACCCCTTCCCCAAGCAGGCAAATCTGATTATCATGAAGGCATTGAAAGGGTGTTCAAAGAAAGCTCAGTCAAAACTTGGTAAACATGCCAAGGATGTAAGTGAATTATGTGCTGTTGTCATCATATCTTTATCAGTACATTGTTGATTTTGTATTTGAGATCTGAACATCGAGCCTGACCTTCTTTTTGAACCTGTGAGTGTGACATTAATACGTAAAGATGTATGAAGTGGTCCGAAAAACTCCCACAAAATCAGACCCAACACCTCCGATTATTTCAGGCTTTACAAGGCGACTCACAGCAGCACACTATATGTGAGCATGTCTTTTTCTCCTGACTCAATAATGCTACTTCTTTCAATTTTAGCAAGAATATCTTGCATATTGCAGCTTAAACATCTAAATTTTGCTACCACTGGTGCGGACAGTTTAATCTAAATTAATGACATGTCCGTGCTGTCAAAAGAATTAGGACTTGAACTCAGTGACCTTCAGTGTACCAGCAGAATCACAATGTGCCTAATTTGTGCTTAAATGCTTAAAACACGTTGTCTGTTTGGATTTTTGTGCTTTTGTGTTGTTCTGTAGCTTAATATTTTTAAGGTAATGTTGTTTAGCAGCAGATCGTTTCAAATAAACAATAAGTTAACAGTGTAGACACATGCTGAGAATCTGTACATAATCTAAATAATAGATCTAAAAGCTTTATTTAGCCATGCATATATTTGACCTGATAGTCTTATTTACCTTAATCTTATATCTCATTATATGGGAAGTCCTTGACATTTAGTTATTGTCTAGGTGTTTATTTTATTTTGCTTTTAATTATTATTTTAGAATTAAATTTTATTCAGATCTAAAAATTATATTAACTGAGAACCTTGAAGTCAGATTCAACTGCAGAAGAAGGTAAAAACTGGAAAAACTGCAGCATTTGCCATTTTGCCATGCTTGTGGTCACAGTTTAACCGACTACAGATGTCAGAGAAAGTTGGAGACTTAAAAGAAACCAAAGGGTTTTTTTCTGACCCACAGCAGGGTAACTGACTATCAGCTGCAGTTCTTACAAATGCAATCAGTCCCACTGTTTCCCAGCCAGCTGTGCTGTATAAAACTGTTGTGCTCCTGGAGATGTTTCTTAAAACTTTGTCATCAATTCCTTCAATAATTCCTTCAGGTAATCAAGGACTTCTGAAGGCAATAATTAGAAGGATCTGGTGGTGTGGATTAGGGTTGGAGTTAAAGTCTGTAGGAGGGTAGATCTCCAGGAGCAGGGCTGTCCTATAGCAGCAGTGACCAGATCTAATGCAATTGCCTACTATAACATAATCTTCATATGTTTGATCACCCACTGTTTGCTGTGGTGTCTTTGATGCATATAAAGAGCAATGCCCAATTCATTAGTAGTTGGTGATGTAAATAACTTGCAGCATAAATGACACTATTACACCCACATCCGCACTAGCTCATTTGGCAAGTTCCCCTGGAAATGACACCAATGTGTTTAAGTGAAAGATCCGTCAGACTGTTACCAGTTAAAATATGCGTGTGTTTCTATTTTTCATATAGCGCTTATTCAGTCTAATGTCGACCCTCTGCTGAAACCTCAGAGAAAACATCAGTCTCAGCTCAGTTCTTTAAGCTGGTGGTGAGACAGCAGGCTGGGGGGAGCCAGCAGCTGGGTAATTTGGGCATCTGGTTGATCCGGGAGTGGTAAAGGCCACTGACTCACTGCCTCAAGCATGCTTCAGTTCCTTTGCTGCTCGGCTAAGCAAACATGAGCCCAGGAAACAGGATGTCAGTATGGCTGCTATTCTTGCAGTATGTTACATGTGATTTGTTCATGCTAGCTTTACACTTTGCATATTACAATATATGAAAATATGTGATTCTCCCATTATGGTATATCTTTTGACATATAATACTGTTCTGTGCTCCTTTCTGTTAGGCTGAAGATACTAAGGTTCTAAAAAGTGGGATGTCAGTATGGACAGTTAACATGCATTACATGCGCTTTGCTCATAATAACTTACAAGAATACATTATGTGGAATGTTATTCTCACAGTTAGTCCTGTTATAATACTCCTTTTGGCATAACACTGTCCTTCGCTTATTAGCCTGAAGACGATATAACACAAAGCTGGAAAAAAAGCAAAAATGAAGCAGGGCAGAGTGAACTAATGCAAATGACTCACAGTGCAGAAGGCTATAAAAGAAAAATGGCATTGCTATCACTTCCGAATGACTAATTGTGAGCTGATGATATACAAACCGAAACACAGACTTCAGAGAATTATTAGGGTGGGGTGTCAGAGTCATTCATGAGTGTTTATTGACAGCAGAAGCTTGAGAAGAACATCACGCCAAGCCAGGGAGTGTGATGGGATTAGTGATGGAATGGAATGATAATCAAATTCTGTCTTGACAATACTCTTCTTCTGCCTGTCCGAAATAATTGCTGGTTCCCTGAAATGATGTTGGTAGAAATGAGGAAAGAGTTAAAGGGCCTATATCCTCATTTTTCTTGTTTTGGGTTTTTTTCCGCTGAGGTCCACTTATGACATATATGTGGTTTTATGAGGCGAAACATTCATGACACATTTTTACATGACCATTTTCCAACCTCAATTCATCCCTTAATATTAAACAGGCTGTTTTTGTTACTATGCCTTTAAGGCTGATATATGCAACTGACCTGTTTTCTGATTGGCTGCCCTATATTGTGGCTCATTCAAAGAGCAGTCCATACTGACGCATTCCCTATACCCTCAGAATCAAAGGGCAGGACAAAACTGCTTTAGGCTGAATAGGTGGATATATGTAAAAGCACTGTTTTTTGTGACATCACAAAAACAATGAATTCAAAACTGGCTGTTTTTGCAGCTTAGTTTCCATATATGTACTAAAGAGTGAGTGTTAATATACTAAATGAAACTCTTTTATGTGAGAAAGAAAGAAAAATGTATTTTCTCATTATATTGGCCCTTTAAAATTTGACTGATTCAGTTGCCTGTGAGTTCATATGAAAAGGATAGCCTTGATCGCTCCCCGGAGCCATCTGTTTCTTTTCAGTGCGGGAAGACAAAGAGCAATTAAGGTATGACTATGCTGTCTGAAACTTTGTTTTATTTTATGCTCTCTCAGTGACTCCCATAAGATTAATGACTAAGGAACATTAGGCATAATAGGAAACATCTGATAATTACTGTGTGAATAAGGTAAGGTTAAAATCTACACATTAGTGTCCTGCACATTAAAAGTCTACATATTAGCATTCTGCGTGTTAAAGTTCTACATGGTAGCATTTCCAGTCAGCAAATGATGAGACTTTCCCAGCATGCTCTCACCTACTTTCTCCATACACTAATGAAACACAGAAAAGCAGAAGACAAGGAACCACAACACAGTGGGGGTTCAAACAATGGTCTGGACATGTTTATGTATTTGTGTATGTGCTGTGAGTAACACTGGGCTATAAATCCTCAGATCACTACTCATGTCAGCATTAATCTTTTTTCGCCATGTTTTACTGAAGGGGTCAGAGAGGCAGACCTACTGCATTGTAAAAGTTGCAGTAGTGCTTAAGAAATGACACAGAGTGTAGGGTAAACACATCTGCTAAATCACTACTAATGAGTTTTACATGCCTTTACTGATCAGTGCACGTTTACACATCTACTTTACAGTTGTATTTCCAGGTTCCAGTTAGTGTAGCGGCCAGAGCCGTCCATGTGGTGAGCTCTGGCTGTAATGGAATCTGCAGAGACGCTGTCTGCTCACAGCAAAGATGCCCTGTCTGTCTCTCTAAAAGACGCATCCTTTCCACTCCCTAGGGACCAATAAACTATTCTTGTCCAGACACACGTTTGGTGGACAACTCCTTCATAAATCAAAGGTTATTTTTGAAAACTGACTGCTTTTGATTTTTGCTTAATGCATGATAATTTGGTGCATTAAAGTCTCATATCATGGAGAATTTGTTTAATGAATTTATTTTTTTAAATAAAAAAGTTTGTAAGTATGTAATACTAAAGTTTTAAAACGTGTCATTCACTCTCCAGGCCAAATGTTCCATACATGGGAACTATGCTGCAAAACCAGCCCATTCTGAATTCATTGTATTTGTGATGTAACAAAAATAATGCATTTAAATATATTCACCTATTCAGTCAAACACAGCTTGCTCACCCACACTGAAGCATAAGGAGTGTTTCAGCCCAAACTGCTTTTTGAATGAAGCACAATACATAACAGCCAATCAGAACACATATTACTTACATATAACACTCAAAGGCACAGTAACCAAAACAACTTTTTTAATTTTAAGGCAGGAGCCATCCGATCTGGTCTTGGAGGCTCTCAGTTCAGCACAGTTTGGTGATTTCCCTACTCTAACATACCTGATTCAAGTCATTGGTGAATGGCCAGGTTTATTTGGTGTGTTCAAGCAGGAAAATCCCTAAATTATGCTGCACTCCGGCCCTCCGGGATGACTTGAGTGATTGAGGTTGCATGTGTAAACATAATTTAAAAATATATAAACCCATATGACTGTCAAAAATGGACCACCAGGAAAAAAAATAAATTAATGCAAGAAACATATCCCAAACATTTATGCTGGGAGAGTTTAGCTCAGTGAATTCTGTCTGATCATTATTCTGAGCAGTTGGATGGTCACAAGTAGTCACTTGACTGGTATTTAAAGCTGATGACATCGAAGAGAAAAAATGTAGAATTTACAAAGACTAAAGGATTACCTCACAGCCCACAGCCTAACTAACAGACCTCCAAAGTTGCTATCAGTGCAGTGTTATCAGAAAAAGATATCTGTGGAGATATCCACAGAAACCCAAGAACCCCAAGAAGACTTCACACACCCCCTCTCGCCCAAGACAGAGCTGCTGTATGAGTAAGTGTGTGATAAGCTATAAAATGGCAACTCTTCCTCCCTTACAAGACCATATAAAGCAGATGGAATGTGAAGACAAGCTTTCTACAAAGCATCTTTGTACTAGTAGTGATGACACACTTGCTAGCCTGCATGCTGAGTCAAAATAAAGTCATTCGCTAAACCTCAAAGCTAACAGTGCCTTTGTATTTTCAGTATAAACTGTTTTAAGAAACTGAAAGCCATATAAACCAGACTTATTAAACAACATTCCCATTTATGTTTCTTTAACATAAAGTAAAATTACTTCATTTGGTAATTTGAGGCTGTAAATAGTCGAGCATTACAACACTCTCTAGTGAGGGATGAGAAATGCTAACAGTGCTATGTGCAACAACATAATTCATGTTTTATTCCTAGCTCTGGGGTATGAGGTTCAGAAATCCCCTTGGACTGTAGTGCTAACACTGTCCCGGCTGAGAGAGGGCAGGCTTGGTGTATATCATGTCCTTCCAGACAGAGTGCATCTACCCCATGACTCCCTGCTGGACTGCTAGCACACCACTCCGGGGGGATGGGAGCAGGCTGATGGGCCATGCTAAACACAGGACGCAATTGTTTTGTCCTCCACCAGAAATTCTTAAATTTGATCATGAGAACGGCTGTGTCTCAGAGACCATAGCAAAGAGCTGGACATGACCCATCCTGACGTGGCAGTAGGCTGGGCACAGCCCTGTTTGCAGTCAGGAAGAGGAAAGAAAAGGAAATCAGTCCTGGCTGCAGGCCTGGTTCAGTGAGGGCGCAAAAACATGTACTTCAGCCTCAGCTTGAATTTTGGCACCCTCAGTTGACCTTTGAGAAAAATGTACTTAAACCGCCCTGCGATTCAGTCTACAGAATGTTGTAGGAGCGTAGGGTGGCTCTAACGTAGGATGAAAGCTGTTTTTTGATTGTTGCAAACAGAGTCTTTTGTGCTGCAGTTAGCAGCATCTGTGGTTAGCATACTGGATGACTGCTAATACTTGGAAAATCAAGCGAAGCATGGTGATAATGCTCTGGAGCCAGACCTGCCTGGACCTTGTTTGTTCTTGTCAAGATGAACTTTCAGTTGGGCAGATGAGAGGAGATTTCTGAGGCAGTTTGAAGTGTAAGATTTAGAGGCAAAGCACATGTAAGATTTAATAAGTAGTGGGGATCTTCAGCGTCCTCCATTGTTGTTGACAAAATAGACATAATAGATATCTTGTGAGCAAAACGCAGAGCGTCCACCCTTTCCCATTTGGACTGTGTCCTCGTGGTGGTGTTTTCTTGTTTCCCTTTTTTCTGTCATTCATCACATTTCAAAACTTGGACTTAAAGACCCATTTCGAGTTGAACTGGACCAGCCATGATAAACGTTTGTTATTGTTGCTCATTAGATGCTCATATTCAATTTATGAATAATGAAATGAAACAAAAAATGTGAAAATCTAATGTTCTAGTTCTCTAAAAGTCTACATGTAGTAGGTCTAGACGGTCTTTAAATCACAGAAAGAAAAATTGGCCCAGAACCCTGAACCGAGTAAAAGTTAGTGAGCAATACATCCTGTATTGTCACTAGGGAGTCATTACAACTGTATTGTCAGGCAAATATGAGGTTCTTCAATCTGATCAGCAAAGTTCCTGCTGATAACAATATACAAATGGACATGACATTTTTTATGAAGTAAGTCCTGATAGTATCAGCAGGCCTTGACACAAACATAACATGAATGGACGTGGTCAGCTCTCTGTCTCTGTGGGTGGAACTACGTCCTGCAGATTTCCTATGAACGGTAAGGGAAGTGGTGGCACATCCAGGAAGCAGGACAGCAGCACACGTGTCCTGGGGAGGAGCTTTTTGCTGAATCATTAACTACATCACTTCCAGTTTTAAGATTAGTAATTTAAGATGGATAAACTCACTAGACATATGACACCATATATGCAGATACATGACTCAAATCTTTCTCTAATTAGAGAGAGAGAGAGAATATTTAGCATATGCTGATCTTTCTCTTATTGTGACAGGTTCAGCAACAGTTTAGATTCATGCAGCATGTTAGTTTCCCCATTAACAAGTATTTTAAGTCAGAATCTGTATGAACACAGTAAGCTGAAAGGAAAAGACTTTTTACTTAGCTGAGTTACTAGGTTGCTGCCTGAGAAACGAGGTGGACATTTAAAATAAGGGAATCCAGTTAGAGAAAATGTCACTGTCAAGATGAACTTTGAACGTCACTGTGTCCCAGGCCAGTTAGAGAAAATGGTCACGTTGAGTGACCATTTCCTTTCTTTGTCCTTCTTAATCCCATGAACTACCAGTTAAGTACAACACTGAAAAGTCAAAGATTCATTCATTACACTGGGATAAAATCCTTGGCATTTCCTGTCTTTAGACAAATAACTTGGCTGAAGCATTTCAAGTTCATTTCCAAAGCAAACATGGATATGTGGGTCAGAAGAACAAGCATTACTTTTTTGCAGTGCTGTCAAGAGTGCTCAGGTTCCTTTTTTTCACAGCTGCTGTAAGTAACTTTCATGAGTTACATACGTATGTAAATATTACCTACTGGAAAAAGATGGCTAAAAGAGGATAAAACAGTACATTTAATAAGAGCTATGCTAATTCATATATTTTACACTAACTTTTCCATTGTTACTCAATCAAATTGTATTACGAATAAAAATGAAACATTGTCATTTTATGTCCACTATGCAGATAGATAGAAAGATAGAAGATAGATAGATAGATAGATAGATAGATAGATAGATAGATAGATAGATAGAGGCAGCAGTTAACATAGAAAATAAATATTTGTTAAAGCATACTCATAAATTTTACACAATCAAAAATAAGAACATTAAATAGAAGTTAACAGCTACTAATATTATAGTTAACAACTATTACCTTTCATACAGTTCCCATAAACACAAACACCCATTATTAGTGGTATCAAAATAAGTTTATTTTACAGAACTGAACTTTGTCAAAATGTTACAAATTTTGCATATAAATGTTGAGAAATTAAGAGTTCAAATTATGCATATGTATAAAAGTAACATTCACAGAGTTGCTTCATTCCCTCTATTCTATGCACCTGAAATCATATCTGCCTCTAGAAAAGTTTCAAAAGCTCATTTAATCAATTATTAAACTGTTCAATCTCAGAAGCTTGGAATTTTTCATTGATTAAACAACCTATGTGATCACTTAATGCATGGTTGTCTGTCTTTTTCCTCTAATCATTTAAGAGAATTTAACTTTAAAAATCAGAAGGGGGAAAAAATAGTTAATGTTAGAGAGCAGGAGAGGAAACCAAATCAGTCATACACACTTTTGTAAATGTGCTCGGAGTGGTTGGATCAATGCTCACGTCTTCAATTTAGCGCAAAAAGACAGAGAAGACAATGTTTAATTCAATAGAAATGTGTAAAAAAAAAAATTACAATCTGAATGTGGTCAGAGGCTTGATGAATCGATCACAATAGCAGACCCTTTTCAACTTAACACAGGGAGGTGAATTACCTAAAAAGCACTGCAGCATTACAGTAATTCAAAAAAGGAGACAAATGTTAACTCCCTCAAACAGCTAAAATTAAGGAGGTTGCAGTGCTTTGGAAAAGAGTTAGCACCTATTGTCATACATTACATACACACTTTTTGTTTCATTCAATGCACTGGAACTAAACCTACATCTAATCCGGTCAAGGCAAGCCTATCCATTACCCAGTGTTCTTTGTCCTTGAGGCTCAATCAGCATTCTTCCTCCATAGTCTCTAAGTGAGTAAAGAACATAAGTCGAGAGCGCCCCCTAGTGGTGACAGCCTAGTGAAATTAATAGAATAATACCATCAACAGAGGTGATAATTTTCCCTCTCATTCATTATTAAAAGCCCCAATAATTTCATTAAGTGATGTAAATGTAATGAAATAAGGACATATAAATAGCTTTCCAGTGTACTATTCTTGTAGTTGTGCTGCTTAATCTTGCCTTATATTGTTAATTCCATAGCCCTTCATTTGGTAGTTTCCTTTTTGTATGTACATCAGCCCTTATTTAGATTAAATTCCCTTTGTACGCTCCCTTCACGCTAATGGAGTCGATCTGGACATGCTGTAAAGGCAGACTGCCCATTTCAGTCCTAAAACAAAATTAGCCAGTACATATTTGGCCTAAGTTACAGCAGGAAATGACATTTTAGATACTCAAGCCCTGCTGTTACCACCAAATTAAATCAAACAAAACGCAAGCCTCATAACCAAACCCACCATAAACATCACAGACAACTCAACTATCACCCACAATTCAGTTTCTACATGGACAAAACGAACTACTGCACTAATACCCACTATAACTAATTTGTGGATTATCGGTTTTACACAGCTTAAAACATAAGCATGAAATCAACAGGTTTCATTTTTAAAGACTGGACAAATTAAACATGGACAGATTATGTGCTTTTGAAACAAATCATTAAAGAGTAACACCAACTGGTTCAAAATGTGTTTTGTTTGGCCTGTATTCAATAAAACCTTCATCAAAAAGGGCCCCTAACGTAAGAATAGTATTGTAGATGAAATGGGGCTTTGCATTAAGACCTCAGTGCTACACTTACATTATGAAATGGAGATTAGCTAACTTTGGCAACAAAATCACTCTCTCGTGGCTGCATAATCCACTGCCCTGTTTCAATGTCTCAATTAGTGTGAAGCCTTATAATTCCAGTTATGAAAAACACAAAAGTTCAAGATCATCTCTGAATTTTCACATATATATCAATATGCATGTAACACAAATCAGAAAAAGAACAAGCAAGCAAACATGGGAAATGGAAACGCATGCTATGTGAGTCATGGGACATTTTAGGGCATACAGCTGTGGACTTGGTAAATTTCATCTTGTCTTGTAAATCCCAGCAACATCATTAATCCATTAGCAAGTTTTGTAAATCTCAGTCACATCCTACGATTCTGTGCCTTTTTTCCCAGACCACTGGCAGTTGGGAGTAAAACACAGCCTCTCATGTTCAGTGTCCTCCATTGGATGACTCACTACACAGTTATTAAGCACCCAGCACCCTCTGCAGCCCAGACAGAAAAGGATCTATGCCAGCATGCCACACAAGCGCTCCCAGCCCCAAAGAGATAGACAGACAGAGACGGGGGAGACGACCTGGGCACCTCAGTGGCCCTCTTTTTCTGTTCTGGATGCAGCCACTTTCTTGGCCTTGTCTGGCCTGGTTAAGAATTCCAGCTGCTCAGATGAGTCAGCCCCCTTCACTGGGGCAGAGGCACTGTTGTCTACAAACATGTTGGGGATGTCCTGTCCAAAGTAGATCTTGCTGTTGGCTGCTATGGCCTGATATTTCATGAGCTCCAGATACTCCGGGGTCAGCTTAAGCTAAAAGAGCAAGAAAATAAGACTCTGATTTATCAATTCAATAAAAGCCGGTTTCACAGCAAGCCTGGCAATTTTTTACTTCTTAACGTTCATGTTCTACCAACAAATGCATTCCAGAATGACACACTTTTTCCCCTCATATGAATTCTGAAGAGAAATGCTTTACCCTGTTGGATTCAGCAAACTTTGCAGCTGTATAGAACTCGGCATCCGCTTTGGCTTTTTCTCTGGCCATGAAAGCAGCGTCTGTTATGGACAGTCGAGTATGTCAATATTTATCTGCTTTATCAGAACAGAATTAATCAAATTTATGTGCCTTGTTAATCACACCTTCTATTTCCGATATCTTCTTCTCCGTCTCCTTTTCCATTACTCTCTGCTTAAACTGGATCTCAGCTACTTGAGCAATCTTTTCAGCCTCTGAGATGAAAACATACAACAGAAATGAAAGACAGTCAAACCCTTATCTTAAGATGAATATGTTATATGATAAAAGGCATAATATCACAGGTGCCTTTCCCCACCAATGATGGCCTTCTTTCTCTCAGTCTCTGCCTCCTTCTCCACAACTTTCTGGGTCTGAGCTGTGATGAGCAGTCTGGTCTTTTCAGCTTCCCTGCATTAAGAGACAGACGCTTAATTTGTGTTACACCAAGCAGATTTTCACTAATGGACACATCTGGGACAATGTTTACAGTACAAAGAATTGTACCAAAATGTTGTAAAATTACACGCAAGAGGCATCATGGTTACTTGTAAGAGGCATCACAACAAATATTTGCTGTCATATCAGAACCTTTAATTTTTTCCCCCCAAAATGTGAGAACATCTACTACCCTTTACATTGTATGAACATTTCATGATGAAATAAAAAATAAATTTCATGATAAAACCTTGTTATATCAACTTCTGTTAAAAGTTTTGGTACAATAGCAATTCAATACAGAATAATTATTAGTGATGCACCGAAATGAAAATGCTTGGCCCAGGCCAGAATTAAAAAGACACAGGGCCTAAAATTAAGAAAGCTGATAATAAATAGAACAGTTTACATAAAATTAACTTAATTACAGTATGTAGGCTAGAATAAGTGACTACAAAATTAAACGTTCTCAACAACAAAATGGCTGGTCCTCCAAGGTAAAAAATTCCCTTTTTTGTTATACTCTGCACTTTGGCACTGTCTTTTGTAACTTTTTGGTTATTTTGACTGTGGCTACAGACAGTGTTGCTGTGCTAGCAGGGACTTTACTTTCTGTTTCTGTTGTTTTGCTGTATTCTGCATATCAAGCAGGAAGTTGTGTTTCAAGTGAAATCGAATATGTAGTTAAGACGTTTTTTGGATGTTGTACTCCCTCTTTATACTTTGCATGCACCGTGATTACAAATAAATCACTTGTCTAATGTCCTTTATAGAAACTATAAACTGTCAATCTGCTGCCGCTCAAACTGAACACAGCACAGGAGAAGAGACAAAGAAACAGTGTTTTTAAACACCTTTTCTCATTACCATTGTCTGTAAAGTCTGTAGATTTCAACACTTTATTGTAAGGTTATTTAGCCTTTGTTTTGTAGTTTAGAATGTTCAGCTTTCTTTCCTCTTTTTCCACCTGAAATTTTTTGGTGTCCAAAATTTCAGTGCATCCCTAAATTATCAGCATTATTTTGCCACATCAGAGAACTTAAAACTAAGGTTACTGCAGGACAACTAGCACCTTGCACACTTCATTTACAAAGATAAATGTACTCACATCAGTTCAAAGTTTCTCCTGATTGCTTCAGGGATTTTAGGCTTGGTGACACGGACAGCCTGCAAAGACCGGACAGCGAACATCAAACTCAATTGGACACTTCAAGATCACTCTGACCTCTGATGCACAGGGTGAACTGGGCTTTCCTTGGGTTCTGACAAACTGCTTGACAGCTTCAGCTACCAGGCCAGAAAACTAGAGACACCATGATTCACAAAGGAACTGCTGTGCTCTGGACTGTGGGCAAGCGTTCTCAACATTATTCCTAAACACTTGTTCATCTGCCTTGAAATGATTCCACTAAAGAGATAATGTAAACACAAAAAGTATGATTTCTTACTAGTTTGTCTGCACTTTAACCCCAGCAGTCACTGTGCTATTTGAAGAGCAGGAGCACAAGTACAAATCAATAAAAAATAGTTTCTATCCAAACACTGTTGGAGCTCTCTGTACCTCACATAATAGTAAAGATTCTGTATAAAGACTGATAATATGAAGGTATACTGAGTTTCTTAGTGAGATATCCTAAAGTGAACTCTAAGGTATCAGATCCACCCATGTTTTACAATAAGACCAAGCCAAAATGATTAAATCTGTCAGTGCCTATTGACTGGTCCCCGCCCACAGGAGCAAAGAGACACACAATAGTACTGTGAAGACTATCCAGGGCTCTTTGTATTTCAGGCTGAAAACAACACAAATTACAAAGGAACCAAGAGTGTTGAAAATGTTCCAAAATCTCACCTGAATAGTAAGACCAGGGGCCATGGAATTCAGATCCTTCTGCAAAGCAGTCTTGAGGTTCTCATCAATTATGTCTGTGACAAGAGATTATAAACATGAGGCTGTAATTCATCTGACATTCAGCTGCAACAAAAGTGCAATGAACTCAAGGCACATAGTTGGCCTGAGACACACAAAACATGGCCTACACTGTTGTTCCATGTAAACATTTAGCCAGACAGTACTCAGCAGGATAAACTGTTTGACATTACTGCTACTTACCAAACAACTCAATATAGACCTCCTGTAGTGTGTGAACACTACAGAACTGGTTCAGCTCATGGTGGATTTTGTTGAATATTAGTGTCTTGTCATAATCTGCAGTGTAGTTCCTCACAATGTCCACCACTGAAAAGAACCGGGGAAAGATAATGATTAGACGTTTTAAACTGACTGCACCCATTTCACTCAATCTGTGTTTTATCAGTATCCTTACCTGCCGATGGCACCAGCATATTGACCACCTCAATTCTATCAAAATAAATCATGACACCTCCACTGGAGAAAAAAAAAGAAAATCATTAAAGATCCTCATAATATCATACCAGGTGATTTCACTAATACATCAAGAACATTATACAAGTATATGCTATATTATAAAGATCACACCGTGTTTAACAATTATACCTCTCAAACTCTCAATGGTTAAAAGTTTACCTTGTTCCACAAGGCACATTTTTTATTTCATCCGTTTGCATTGTTGTCTGTAACAGAGAGGAAATGATTAGGAAGGAGTATTAAAAAAAAGTCATGTTTGCAAACCTCAAATGACCAACCGCAGACTCAGTTTATGATAATTACTCAGCCATGTGGAGAAATGATATAAGTGAATGAAATATGCCAACAGCTTTCACAAAAAACACTTCATAGTGACCTAGCGGTTCTGAACCTGACTGAAATCTGTGGTTCGGCAGCAAATGGATCTCCTTACAGTGCGTGTGATGTGAACCACTTTTTTTTTATTGTCTCACTGACAGAGAGGGCTGCTCTGTGTTCAATCACACAGCGCGCAGGCTACAAAGGCTGCTGCACAGCATTGCCCATTTCAAACAGTAGATTATAACTGCTGCTAAATATGCCTGAGCTATAAGATACTAACCACTGTTAAATGTGCTCAAGCCAAGTATGACATTCCAAGCAGACCAGAGCGCAATTACAATGGATAACTGGACTTCTCAAGCAACAGAGAGTCACAGCACAGTACATGACTAATGCATGGGAACTTAAAAAACTAGTTCTTCAGACACAATCCATTTATGAAGCACATGTGAGGGAGTATTTGGCCAATATGCTGAATAAGGCTATTGCTGAATGGAAACTCAAATGGCAAAATATCACTACTAGTGCCACAAATAATAATAATAATAATAATAATAATGCAAGAAATATTGTTAATGCAGTACATATGGCTGGATTTTCACCTCATGGCAACAGTTTTTTTGGAACACAAAAACTTTTAAAAGTTATTTCTTTCTTGTTCTGAAAATATTTCTAGTTTGTGTTTGGCACATCGTACACTAAATTTATGTTTAATAAATGAAAATCTGAAGTTTAAATGTTGATTAAGCTGAACGACCACACAACCTGAATCATAGCCCAGAAACCAAGGACTGAACAGACTGTGAAAGGGCTGAACTCTTACACTTCTCCACCAACTAATGTAACATATTTGTTTATATGGTCATACTGAGATGCATTCAAAGAAAATAGCTTACCTGCACTGATCTGTAGGTAGTGATAAAAGGCAGCATGATGTGATAGCCCGGGCCATTTGGAGCGGTCAACAAAGCCCCACCTCTGGAAAAAAAAAAACAATGAAGCTCAATTTTGTGTTTCAAAATATGTTTTACATCTTGAGTTACAGTTACAGACCAAACGTACATATATGCTGAGAAAGTCGTATACAGAGCAGATTGTTCCAGTAATTAAAAATACATCAAAACAAACCTTTGGTACTTACCTGTAGTAAACAGCTAAATGACCTTCTTCTATCTTGTGTATAGAAGAGTGAAGCATAATAGCCATCACACCAGCGATCGCAGCAACCACTGCCCCGACATGCGCCATCGTCATCCTTCACCCAGCAACTCACCTGCTGCAAAATAAACCAGATTAACAAAATTATTCCTTACTAACTCAATACAGACCTCTGGTTCAGTTCATGATGGCCTTTTCTAAGAGTACTGTCTCATCATGTCCACCACAAAGTACTATTTTAATATCTAACATAACCTCATGTTCGTCATTTTCATTTAGTAAAGAAGCATGATCACTGATAATTTTAGAGAAATAAAGATTCATTTATAAAATTCTATTAGGTTAAAAGGAAAAAAGGTAGGTTGTGACTGACTCACTGCAAACATGCACCTGTGCAGTCAGTCAGCATGTACAGAAAACATTTACAGAAGCCTGTTGGTCATGTCTAGCCCAACTTTAGCTGATCTCGCGAGTGAATGTTAAACCACATTTATTTAAAAAGCGTGCATACACAACCCTAACCTCTCCTAACTAGTCTGTATGTTTGGTCCAGAGTGAGATGGCATGTCCTACACTCCTCTCACGGAGTCTATAAGGACATGCAAGCAATGCTATTTTTGGTCGTCGAATATCACACAGCCTGCTGGCCAGTTGGGCTTTTTTTCGCTGTGACAAATGGAGTAACGTTAAAAGAAGCTCGAACGTCTAGTTAGCTGGCCAGCTAAGGGTTAGCCAACTGGGACGGTTTCTAACGTACTTCCTGATTGTGTATTCAAATCGAGTTGTACATTAGCTACCATTATCATCAGGCGCTCTGTATTACATGGGAGTGTCGTCGCTCTGATAACTAACACTACGGTCACGGACCTGCTAAATATCTTATCTAACCATAAAACAGAAACTCACAGAGGTTGCTTAATCTTTATACAGCTAGCATGCTATATCACTAGCTAACGCTCGACTCACACTCAGGAAGCTAAGCTAGCTAGCTAACCAGCTAAAACTAGACGAAGATGAATGGTAACCCAGCGTTAGTGGCTAGCAGCTCTAGCCGCTGGCTAACCGAATCTGCAATGTAAACGGACTATGAATGAAATTAAACGATTTCCATGAAGCAGCACCCGACAGAGAAACAGCTTCAGGGTGTAGGTTTACCTGTCATTCGTTAGTCAGAGAACGCTGTGGTCTGTCATTTCACTTTTCACTGGATGAGTAACGTTACCGGAGTCATGCCCCCCAAAGCCGCTCCCACCGCGCGAGCTACAGCGTCACCAGCTCGGGCGGGGGCTTCGGCTGGAAACAGCGGCATCAACCGCCAAATTAAAAGTGCCAATTCGTGCCGCTAGAATACTAAAAAAATAATTTTATAAAGGAAGAATAAACAAAGTGTGAAGCACCTAAAATCAGCATCTATGTTCTGCAAAAGTGCAAAGAGATCGTCCTGACTCATTAGGATAATGAGTTAATGTTAATGTTATTTTACTTTGTTATTTATGTGCGGATGTATGTGTAGTCTTTTTATTTGAATTGGTTTAATGTAAATTTGTATGGTTCATTCTTCCAAAATGTAATTGGGACTGTACATTTATCCCTGTTTTTTAAAATAAAAAAGACTGTCTTTTTATTCTAATGTTCTAACTTAGTTCAGTTTGTATGAATGCTTTACATGCAGTATTGCCAAAACAAGACAATGAAATAGTGCTATATTATCAAACGCACACGTCTTGTTTTAGTGAATGAAATATACTTATATTTCAATGCAAAAAGTGTGGTTCAGGCTACAGTTATTTGGAGTAACGAAAACCTGCAGTTCCAAAAGTCTACACATTATATACAAACAGTATAGTCTTTAGTTAGGTCCGTATGAGACAAAATCATATCATGAGAAAAACATCGGGTCACTGTTTGCTTAGATTTAGGACTTAGCGGCCAATAGAAATTGGCAAATTACCCCACGTGGTTTCGGAGGCGTGGTTTCCAGTTACCAAGGAAACGCATACAAATGTCAGTTCAGCACCTATTCGGCCTGAGCAGCCTCAGTTTGTAATGGATATTTTGGGAAGTTTGGAAGTAAGGTTGGTAACAGAGCCACTACGATCAGATATTTAAAATTAAAAATACAGTTCTTCTGTTTTTCAGTGTGTTATCTTTAGCTAATACGTCCAAAAGTACAGCAGTTCTCAGATCCCACGTAGCTAACTAGCTAATTTAGCAAAGATATAGGTTAGAGTAACTTTAGCTGGATAGCTGAAATTGAGACTAGCTGTTTAAGCCCTAGGTTTCCCAGTGAAACAGTAATTTAGTTATTTTATCAAAGTTAATATGCAGTTAATATGCAGCACCGTTGCCCTAGCTAAGAGGTTGTTTGTTTGTTTGTTTGTTTGTTTCCGAAAGGTGGGTGCAGGGATTCACTAGCAGCAATGTTGAATTTGTGGATAAGAAAACAGTCTGCTACATCTGTGGGAATTACATAGTTTTCCTCAACATGGAGACAAAAGTGCAAAATGTGCTTCAGTGTCCTGGCAGTGGCATCGGGACCTTCACAGCAAATGGGCTTTGCAGGATTCTTGCTTTCTCTGAACAGAAACTTCATCCATCCATATTTGTGTACAGCTACCCTGAGCTTTCCTTGAGGTGTGAACTTCAAGGTGCGTCATTGTTTATCCAATCCGAGTTTTAGATCAGAGGGTTCCAGATTTTTGTGTTTTTTTGGAAACATTGGTGGAATTGCAATGTTCACCTAGTTAACATGAAAATAATAACCTTCTATTGCAGGTTCTGTATTGACTATACAGAATGCAAGGCCATACTTTTACCTCACTTTTACGTAAATTTGTTTTTTGGGAGAGGTTAAAGTCAATTGATCAATTATAGCCATATGAATCGGCCGTTTGCCATAAATCTCAAACCATAATGAATTTCAGTTAGTGTAAGTGTAAAGACTTTTGAAAAAAAACATGCCAACATTGTTGAAGAGCCCTTTCCACTGGCTCCCTAGTTAGAAAACCACTGGTCTAGATGCTGAACACCAGCATTTTAACCATATAATAGAAGTTTGACCATATTATACACGTTTTTACAGTACAATGTAAAAATACCATATACTTTACAGCACAAAAATGGCATAATACCATACAATACCATAAAAACTAACTTACCTCTTAATTCAACCCTTAACCTAATCAAGTTTATTATATAAACAGTGGTTCTCTCCTAAATGGTTCACATTTTTGCTTGATCTTAACTCCCAACACAAATGGACAGAGCAAAATTGTGGACTGGCTGGGGGGGGCCCAGAGATTTCAATTTGAGAACAACTGATATAAAATACCTTACTAAGCAGTCATTTAAACAAGGAGTCTCAAGTGTGTGTTGTCCACAGTGTATACTTTGATTTTCCTTTATTTTACAGGCACAGCTAAATTGGCTTATACGGTGCTGGCGCTGAGTGATTCAGGCCCCTATTTAGCCTGCTGCTCATCTTTACCTGATTACACCATCACAGTATGGTATGGCAAATAGTGTTTGACTTTGCCCATTTCAATTCTCTTTTATATGTATTAAGACAAAATTTTATTAAATATGCACTGTATGGCTCTAGCGTTTTGATTTAAGCATACTGTTTGTTTGTATGTTACTGGTCATTCATTTATTCTTTAAGAGTGGACTGATTTCATGTTCCTAAAACTACAAAGTATTTTTTTTTCCTTTTTGTTCAAACATGGTAACATGTTTTTTGGCCACAGTAACTTGCACTAAATGTTTTCAGAAATAAAATGTTTGCAGGTTTGTGCAGGTAGATATAACAGTTCACATCTCTCTCTGCCTCTGCTGACGCCTCTATTACACAAATATTTTGTGTTTAATTTTAATCCCTAATCATTCCCACAATGCTGAGAATATGTGCTTTATACGTATTTGTATAAATACATATTTCTATTTATTTGAATAATAAAATGTCAAAAGGGTGTAAAAGAAGAAACATACAACATTAATGGATTAAGATTAATACGTATTTTTTTTCACAGGAACTGGGAAAGTGGAGCTCAGATTTGTTGCCATCCACTGGCTAAAGAGGACATTACAGCTTTGGCTTTCAATCCAATGAACTGGCAGCAAATCTGTGCTGCAAACTCGAAGTCTCTCACAGTTTGGAATATTGAGAGAAGTAAGGACTTTCATATGATGAAGCCCAGGTAGGCATGGCCTCTGTCCAGAAGATGTCACTCTTACCACTGATAGGCACCATATTTCAGTTCATCTGTTAGAATTATATTAACACATATCAAGTGCTTTACATTTTTCTTTGTTTGTGTGACAGTATTATTGATCTCCCTGCTTCTGATGGCTCTGTGGTTGAGCGAGAAGTCATTCCTTCTCATATCACAAATGGGAAGTTGACTTACTACGGTCCTCAGATGCCCACTTCAGCTGTTGCAGGGCTGAGCGGTGACAGAGCAGATAACTTTGTGGTAATCCTTTGCACTCTTTTTTGCAGTGGTTACTTAACATTATCAAACATGAATAAATTTCACTGTTGTTGCTCATGTGGACTGTTTTCTAGAATCTAGATTTCTTTTCCTTTAAGATAAATTTTCATATTCAGAAAAAGTTATTAAAAAGTTGTAATAAAAAGTTACTTTAGAATAATAAAATGATGATCTTGCCACTTCATTTGCTATAAAGCTGAACTTAGAGGTTGTATGTACAGTACAGCTATTCAAATTAATTGTTTCCTTCACCTTTACCCTGTTTTTGTACTATAATACTTTATACTAACAATGTTTACTATCCGGTGTCAACCAGAGGAGGATGGGTTCCCCTTCTGAGTCCTGGTTCCTCTCAAGGTTTCTTCCTGTTTATCTTAGGGAGTTTTTCCTTGCCACTGTCGCCACTGGCTTGCTCATGGGGGCTCGGACCCGGATTTCTTTTTGTAATGCTCATTTCCTTGTAAAGCTGCTTTGTGACAACACCTGTTGTAAAAAGCGCTATATAAATAAACTTTACTTACTTACTTACTTACTGTGCAAGAGTCAGAAGCCACCCTTAATTTCCAGTCAACAGCCAGTTCAAGTTATTAATTTTTCAGGAGATATTTCTGAGGAGATTAGATATAAGATTCTTATGGAAGGCAAAAGTCAAAGGAAAATAAGTTAAAAAAAAAAAAAACAAGAGTTTCCAGAACTGGAGTTTATAAAATTATCACAAGATATAGAGAAAATGGGACTCCTAATGACCACACAAGACCTGGTAGACCACCAAAACTGTAAGCATCAGATAAACAGTACCTAAAGCTTTAATGCTTGTGAGAAAAATCAAGCTCCATTCTTGCTTCAAATCTGAAAAATTCACAGGTGTTTCAGTGGACTGACCACTCCAGAGTCCAGAGCTCAGCGTCACTGAATGTGTTTTGGATTACTCGGATCATGAGAAGTAGAAATTCAACCAACTTCTAAGACTGAAGACTAAGGGCTGTACTTATTGACTGTGACTGGAAATTAAGTAAATGAAGGGTCGTCTCTGACTTTTGCTCAGTACTGTATGTTGCACCCTTCAGTTCTTTCACAAAGATATAAGAGTACCCCTCTGATCCCTTGAGGTATCAACCACAAATTCTTTCCAAAACATTCACATGCAAAAAAGTTGTTGTAAATGAAGATTAAAAGTCATAGAGTATGGCTTTAACAGATATCTTAATAACAGTGTGACTTATAGTTACACTGACTTGTTTACACCCTTCTCTCCTCACAGAGTTCCTTGTTTTTTGCTTTAACAGCCCCAGATCCGAATGAAGCCGACGCTGTGCCCAAGTGCCATCTGCTGGTCAGCTTCCTCACAACTGTATGTAGGTTGCAAAGAAGGCTTCCTACTGCTAGTAAACCCTGAAACTCTGCTTGTGTCTGTCCTCTACACACCGCATATTGAGAGAAGCCCATCAGGTAAATCAAGAAAAGAGTAGATTTTATCAGAAAGGTTGTTAAATATTCACTCACAGGTTGGTAGAGTACTCTAAAAGGAATTAGTCTAAAAGGAATTAGTAACTAAATATTAAAATATAACCAAGTAAAAATAGATTCCTTCCCTCACTTGAGTTGAAATAAAAATATTATCACCTGAAAATATTCAAGAAAGTACAAATCCATACACATTTCACTGTAGTACATATAACTGAGTAAATGTAACTCACTATCCACCTTTGTGTCTGCCATTATTCAACTTTGTGATTGTGGCTGAGGAAAGTTTGCTTTAATCATATCTTACAGATGGCG